AGTACTTCGATCGTCACTTAGGTGGCGCGTCTCGTCTTTGATCAAAGATGGCGGCCTTCGTGTTCTCGCAGAAGCTACAGGTTTTCGTCTCTGAGAGTGTAATCAAGTTTTTTTTTTTTTTTTTCAACGTATTGCACACAGTCACTAGCAAACATATCAGATTATTCGAAGCGTATCATCTTCCACGCTAGACCTCTCTACAACGAAACAACGGTGAATCGTAAGTAGTACTATTCGTTTGGGTTTCAATGATTCGTGACTACACATGAATATTCATCTTGGGAAAATTACCAAGCATTATACCTTGGTAATGGTTTCGTCGAATGTCGTTGACACGTCTCAGTCCAAGGACGTAACATAGCGCGCGAATGAAAACACAACCACAAAAAGTGTCAGCTGCTATCAAGTAGAGTCTTGTTACAATGTATCGGTCTAGATGGTGTCAACGAACCCAGTCGACCGCAAACAGCGCCGGTAGAGTGGTTTAACGATGCGTCGAGAAAAACCATTTTCTTTATACACGGAAACGTCTACGGAGCGTCGCGTAATCGCATCACAGAATTGCAAAGAAAGAATTTCCAAGTTAGTTGCGATCTTAGGATAATTTTTGTTTTATTGCATACGTATACGTAAGTAGCTTGAATCTCGCTTTCGACGGTGTGTCTTTGATTAGCCGACGCTGCTTTATCGAATCGAGAGATCGACGGAATGTCCTCAACTTTGCGTTGCAGGAAACGCCATTAGGTATCGGGTTCGATCGACCGATCGACGCAAACGCTTCGTTCCACTTCGTGGACGCTAATCGATCTGCGTCGAGTTCCATGCAGCAACAGACTATATTTTCTTTCGACGAACTTGAACGCGACAATATGGCAGCGAGGACCAGAACGTTGCTCTGATCTCGCTGCTTTTTAACGAAACCTAACTTAAAACTGAACGTATGATTCATTGGTTCATTATGTTTATATAATTTGCATGGCATGAACGGTTGCGAACAAGCCACGACAGTTTTGTTCATTTTACTACATGGCACGGTGCTTCTCAACCTATTCGTGGTATAGCCCCCTTCACTTAATTGGTAGCTCTTTGTAACAAATTGTTTTGACAAAAATTTGAAGATACCGAAGGATGATGATACATCACTTGAAAAAGAACCACAATATTTGTTATATGTTAACACGTTGATCGCCATGTCACCCAATATATGGGTGACAGTGTTTCTCACTCGAGAACTAGAAAGATTAATTCTAAAAGACGTCACGGGAGATGAATCTAAATGAAATTCACGAGTTTTGATGTGGTTACAAAACTAAATACCACGATAAATATTTCATTGCCTAGACTCTGATAGTCTAAATAATATTTAATCTTAGCAGAAATTTTCAAGAATATTCGTTTGCCAGTCAACGTGTTAAAGTACGTAACATAAAGTAGCAAAAAATTACAATTTAATCTAAATGTAGTAATTTACATTTACACAAATTTTTGTTTTTTTTTTTAAGCCTGAAGCTACAACATTTTTGGGCCCTCTACTTACAGGTTAAGAAGCACTGATATAGTACAGTGAAACATAGCGTAGTACGTCACAGTGCAGCTCTGTGCAATATAGTTGAAAAGTTGAGAACATTATGGTACAGTACAACACCGTACAATACGGATTGGATCAGTTCGCTGCCGTTTCGTCCGCTATCGCGTACCCCCGAATTGTCTAGCGAGCGGTTCGACGAGAACGACGATGGCGGCTCGTGCATTTCATGAATTCGTATAGACTAATCGCCTTCGTTTGTTGCAATGTATCGTAATCAGCGTGGTTCTGTCGGTCGTCGACGATTCGTCCGAAGTCAGGAAGAGTATTTCGCGAAGATGTGTATGTATCTTTAAAACGATCGGTCATCGGCGCGGAATACATGTTGGAGGAGGAAGTGGGGGGAAATAATATTGTGACGCAGAGGAGAGAAAAAAGAAACACGCGAGAAGGAGGGAAGAGGGTATCTATAAAGCTGCAGCAATAATATAATATAGGTGTTACGGAGAAATAATTAACGGTAACACAATCGTCGACGATGATATCTGGGTCGTACCGATAATACCGATAATGTACACGGAAATGTATACATATGTAACACTATATATATATACAGAGCAACACGCGCGCGATAACGCGTTCGTGCGCACCGTAAAGACACATATACATAACTATACATACATACATACACGCGTGCACGCGTACATGCATAGACACATCTATATATACAGATACATTACACGGACACATACACGCGCGTTACATGTATATATATATTACATAGTTAGTCGGCACAGTCGAAAAGAGTAATATATTAACGATAATAATTTATTATTCGCGACGCCTGTTGCTCGTGAACTATCAATTAAATAATCGCTTTTCGAGCAAGGAACGAGCGACGTTCGTGTTAATGTTTTGTTGATTATATTATATGAACGTTGAGGTACATATATTTAAAAGATTATGGGTTAATGTTTAAAAATGATATAAAGGTAAAAAGCAGTTACACGCTACACAGGCCACGTCGCGTACGTTGCTGTAATAACGATATTAAACATAGTGCGATAATGTGGTGGTGGCAAATTGATGAAAATACCGTGACGATAAAGAAAAAAAATGAAATGGCAGAGAAACGGAAGGAAAGTACCATTAACAATGATGATGATGATGATAATGGTGATGATGATGATGATGATATGATGATGATAATGGTGATGATGATGATGATGATGATGATGATGACGACGATTGACGATGAGGACGATGATAATGATTAAGAATAATTAACGATACTTAAAAATCACTTTGCATTGTACAGAGGCATAATAATTGTTAGTTTAGATAGTTACGTTGCCACGATCTATTACTTAATCATTCGATACAACTAAAGGTAAAGTTAACGTGTAATCCCTCTGTCACGATATGAAATCGATCGCCGTGTAAGATGGTGTACTCGGTATTTGTTGTGTCTGGCTTTTCGAATCGAGAAAAACGTTCGAGTTCCGTTCGCGTCGTCGGAGTGGATATTGTCGTTCGCTTCCGAATACCGATCAGGCGCCAGAACGTTCGTTTCGAAGTTACTTACAGCAAGTGATCGCAACTCCATCTTCGACTCGCGAGGTCTCGTTACTTCAAACGGCGCGGCGCGCTCCTCTAACAAGAGAAGGACCCAAACAGTTCCCCTCCAATCGTAACGTGCTTTTCCAGGATAACAGAAGAGATCCTCGTTTGAATGAGCGAAACGTAAGCCGTAGACACTCGATAATTGCAGAGATACAAGTAATTAAATTTACGTACTAGTCCCACTGATACCACTAAAATTATCAAGCATCTACATCTAAAGTTGTACGTATTTCATCAGGTATTTGCATTTTTACTGGGCTGCAGAAGCACGTTAGAATCAGAGGGAAACAGATCAGGTCCTTTCCCTGTAAGCGTTGCTTCGCGTCTCCAACGGAAATATCGATTCGCGAACCAAGCGTTCGTCGCTCCGGCGAATACAGTTACACGGATCTCTCTCACTCTCTCTTTCTCGGTGTTTATTAAATATATTTAGTATTTCGGTGGTTCGCGAGATTCGTAAAATTACCGCGAGACGCGAAACGCTTTCCTCTTCACAGACTTACCACCACCACCACCAACCACCACCACACTTGAAGCAATCTTTTGTCGCGAATACGTTGCCGGCTCTAATAGTTAGTCGTTTGACTACTCAACCAACGTACCAGAGACTGGCAAAATAAAAAAAAAACCGTTACTCGGATATGTATTTATCAAATTGCTTCGTTCAACGTGAAATGTAATTTCATTCTGTAGTTCGATCTCTAATTTTCATTCGACGAGTAACGAATAAAAAAATCGTTTATCTTTTATTCGTTATTCAAGGTTTCCATCTAGATGAGAATTTTGCCCGTCTCTGCCGTACGTATTGTCCGTTCAACTCAGAACCCATCGGGACAAGAAAGTCGCGAACACGATGATAAACGCGCGTCGTCTCCTGTGCGCATGGATTTTCTATCCGAGCCCTACCGCTCTGAACAACAATCTACCGTCTAGGTTATTTTTTATTCTAGCTTTTAAATCTCGTACGTCGTTAGGGTTTTTCTCTTACGCGCGCGTGTACAGCGACTCTCGCGATAGGAATTGAGGAATTGAACCTTCCTTTCTTACCATCGAATCAGTTTTCCGAGGCACGATAGATTTCGGCGGTAAACAGGCTTCGAGAAAACTTGTTCGTTTCGCCACAGACGCATGAACACCGTTAGGAGGGATGTAGACACTAAGCACGCTTATGCGCAAGGCGGATGCACGCGATGTTCGTCCGTCATTGACGGACAAACCGTTTGACGTGTTGGGCAAAATGACGTTTGATTAATGTTTGATGAATCGTACGATCCATCGCGAATATTCAATTATAAGAGTAATCGGAATTGACGAATAACACAAATAGTCTAACCGAATATAATCATGGAGCACGTTTAACTTGTGGATCACGATCCGATCGCATAGTATTGATTACGACTGAATCGGTACATTAATAATACATGACATTTCTTGCGAAGATATCTATTTATTAAATAAGCGAACGGGCAATTACAAGTTACGAAACGAAAACTAGCGAATTACGGAACAGATGCAACAATAATTAATATAAATATGAGTCTATAAAAAGTATATACGTATTATTTATATTAAACTATATAATTTACGATATTTTAAGAATATAATTTATTCTTCTATTAAGTTTATTTAAACGAACCTGATGGATTCGAATCCACTTGTATTTAAATAATTCTATTAAATCATACATTTAGAATTACGAATGCGTAGGTATGAAAAGAACGGTAGATATGAAAAGTACCAATCAAGTTTTGTGTACTAATTTCTCGTTTTTCTTCGAATCACGATAGATACAATTATCCCGTCAAAGTAACTTTTCATTCAGTGATTAATCTATATATATATATTTTATATCGGTGTCCAATTCTGTCAGCGAATCATCAATGATATAGCAGTTTTTTGCGCACTGCGGTGTTTAGGAAGGAACCGCTGCTCTCTGCTAGCGGCGTTCGTGCGCCTCTGGTAGGTACGGTCGAGTTTATCGAAGCTGGGCTCCACGCACGATAATCGACAGTGCGCGCGTTACTCGGTTTGGCCTAAGAACGAACGAGAGGCTTTCTCGATAGTAGTCAATCTTTAGCTTCGCTGTTTTCCTTGTTGACGAACAGATGTCGGAGAGCGAATCTTCGATCTTATCCCGAGCGCGTTAGTGATTCCGATGTCCGCCTGTCTATCCGTCTCTCTTTCCCTCTCGATCTCTGCGTCCTATCGACTTGCGCGTCCTTCCGCGGATTCATGACGGAAGCTTTGTAGCCAGTCATTAGAGATGGGTAAAGTTTGAATTGATATAACAGTTGACAAACGAGAACACCGCATAGCAAACTTGCCTTAATATAGAACAATTAAGTTTTCTATGTGGTAGATAAAATTATGAAATAGTTACATAAAAATTAGTTGTCGGTATAGAGAAGAACATTAACGTCAATTTACCCTATAGGCTTCGTAACCATCGTTTATTCTGATCGACGTGCGTTTGATATAGTTTCTATAAAATAATTGAACCGAAGTTGTTTAAATATTCGTTCAACTTGAGATTAGGTCGAGAGAAGCACCTCGGTTGAACCATTGTCCCGTTTGCATAATCATCGGTATATTATTTTAAATATCTATCTTGTGTTGTGTGAGTGGCTGTAAGGCGTTCTCGTTTTTCGTCTTATTATTATTGGAAGAATATGTGGCCCGTCTCCTTGTGTTAAACTTGTCCATCGAGAATGTAGATGCGATCCAGGCGAGGCAGAAATTGGGAAGACGAGAAATAAACGAGAGAGGTGGTCAATGGGAGAGTGAGAGAGGGAGAGAGACCGGGAATCGTGACGAAGCAAGAGGGAACGCTTTAGAGACCTTTGAACGCGACAGGACAAAGTGTGAAAAGAAAAATGTACATTGGTCGTGTCGCATCGGTGCAATTATTACTTCGAGAGACTACTTCAATAACCTTATGAGTGTCAATTCCACTTTCAAGCGTAAATCGTAAGTTTGCGAGATGATGTTTTGAGACTAAAGAAGACGAATAAAAAGAAAAAAGACAAAACAAACGAACAAAAAATAAAAGAGCGATCAAAGGGAAGTTCGGTGTTAATCGTAACGTTAAGGATGGTTGCGCTGGCGCACCGCTGGTGAGCGCCACGCGACAAAGTGAGATTACTAATAAAATTTACATTACTGAGAAACAAAAGTAGGGGAATGAGAGAGCGGGAGAGAAAGGGGAAGAAAGTGCGAACGGTATTAAATATGAGAGAGAATAAGAAGAAAACAAAACAAAAAAAAAAGAAACATGGAAAGAGAGAGAAACACACACACACACACAACGTGCGAATCTGCGAATACGAGGTTTAGTGGCGTGCCTGAACTCTGGACGACAGAGTGTGTGCGCGTGTGTGTGTGTGCGCGCGCGCATGCGTGGCTGCCGTGTGGATGGGTGTGCGAAAGTTGAGCGCGAGAGAAACATGAGAAACCAACAGAATTTAGCACGTTCAAAGAGGTACGAATACTTTTTATCGTAGATATTTCATAGGCGAGATTCATAAAAATGAACAAAATGGGGAAAAAAAAAAAAGTGAAATAAGACCTGTATCAACTAACGGTTACTTACTCAATAAATCAACGGTGTTTTTTCTGCCTATAAATCGTATTTGCGTCTCGTGTTTGTGCATCGAGCGAGCACGGATTTTCACTTCTCTCTCTCTCCCTCTCGAACGAGATAAAGAATGATAGACAATTATTTCGTTTCTCGTCTTTAATACGATGTACAATTACTGTTACTATTATTATTATCATTATTATTATTGTTATTACTATTATTATTATACTGTACAAAGTTGGCAATAATCTTAAGAGATCCACCGTCGTAATCTTTAATTCCTTGAGGCGGGAAGAGAACGCGCGGCGAGGCAAGGCTTCAGACTCGTCCGGAGGAAACCAAAGAGAGGAGTGACGATTTACCGCAGCAGTAGAAATATAACATGTGATCAACTGAATGTGCCCTTTCACCGTGTAACCATGCACAAAGATTTATTCCTCTGTGAGTATACACACGCATACACAGCGCCGGATTAAGTTCTTGCAGATCCATGGGTTACGGATACTGTGAGGGCCTCCATAAAAGTAAAGAGTAATTAGATAACGTTGAAGAATAAACCATGTATCGTCTATTATTACGTTTTTAAGTGAAAATAATTTTTGGGAATGAACGTCATTTTTCAAGGTAAACGAGAATCGTTTCTCGAAAGAAAATCATTTGTAAAAATATGGAGAAAATCAATTTTCAAAATAGTTTGAATATGTAATACACAAAGTCGGCGTAAACTTCCTTCCACTAATTTCACTGGAGTCCCTTCGGCTGTAGCTTGAAAAAGTTCGCGCCTTAATTCGGCTCTGCATATACATAATGGTAGATCTCCTGAACCAGAGACGGGTAAAATTTAATTTGAATAATAAATAACGAATAAAACCAACGTATAGCGATTTATTCGTGACGTTTATTTCTCGTTTGTTCATTGTTAAATATTTCATCGTATAGCCGATGAATATAAATGAATATAATATCAATGAGCGACGGATAAACGATCGTTTATCCTTTATTCGTTATTGGAAATTTGTATCTAGGTAAGAATTTTGCCCATCTCTGTCCTACAAACAAACCGTGGATCCGGCTCGGTAGAGAACCGGGATAGAGAGAAAAGAAATAGTGTGGCGAGAGAAAATAGGATTCGAGGGAGTCGGATCGCGGCATAAAGAAACGTTCGGTCGACCAACGAGAGCCGAATCGGCGAATCGCCCTCTCGAAAACATTTTTTTCGCGAGATCTCGCTTTTCTCGGCCCCCGCGATTCGCCGATTTTCCCTCGCGTTTATGCGAATAATTTTCAAAACCCACTTGACCTACTACGAGCGATATATAAAGAACAAAGAATGAAGCCAAGCGTTTACTGTACAATTATATATTCTTTTACGTTCAACGACTTACCATTGAGTAGACGAGTAGTATATTTTACATTACCGAAATATAGTAGCGTTAATTGTCTTACCCTAATTTTATATATCGTCGAAGATACGTATCCGCAGGAATAACGATTTTAGTCAGCACTACAGTGAAGTTACTATACGTCTGTAGATAAACAAATGGTCCGCAAAGAAATTTTAAAAACCGACACGATGTTCAATGTATTAACGGATCTTCTCTCGAAAAAAAAAGAAAAACCAAAAAAAAAAAAACGAACAATATACAACAATATGTAACGGGAGTAAAAACGTTTGCGCGTGTCCCATTCATTCGTCTCCTTCGCCCTCGTTAAGAGAAAAAAAAAAGAAAACCGCAAAGGACCAAGCGGAAAAGAAATAAAAATGCATTGGTTCTCGCACAAGCGAATCATGGCTTTTCGATTCTTTTATTTATATTTTTCTTATTGACTTATGGTGTAATAAAAAATACAAAAAAAAAAAAAAAGATAGGGACATCATCACGAGAAGCACAACATTGAACGATCACGGCGTTCAAATAAATAAATTACTCGTAGGTAGAACGCACAAAGGACCGCGTTACATTATGTACATACAAATAATGCGCATACAAGCGCTAGGTAGTAGTAAATTCATGGTTCCAAGCCGTTGTGTTTTAGAGTACGAACGTTACGCGGAATTAGCAGGACAGAGGGTCGAATCTTCAAAGTCAGACACAAGCTTGGCCGGGCGGAGAAGAGCTTCGTCGAAGTCGCCATCCCTGGCTATCGCCTCTGGTCCACGAAGAGCGTGCTCGCGAATGAACGCGGTTACCACCTTATGATTGACGTATGACATTGTCAGTCGGCATCCCCAAGAGACCAGTGCCAATGGCTGAAATGTCAATATCGAACATTTAATGAATCATGCATGATCTGTCTCAAAAGAAAATGTTTCCATTTGTCCCATTATAAAAGAAGGAGACACCAAGGAAAAAATTATATTCTACCGTTATAAGTACCCCCTCGATTTATTTTTTACAGGATTATGAATAATGGAGGTAACGAAGGCGGACAAAGTAATTGTCCCGCTCTGGGTAATATAAGATGATGAGGTTAGATGATTCAGACTGTATGTTATGACACTTACGCGGTCCTCGCTCAACATATCATAGGGACTGATGACGTGCCGTCGTAGACAGCTAGTGACTAGGCTCGTCAAGTGCTTCACCTCCAACGGATTGGCGCACGGATGATACAATGCGACGATCGCACCATGCTACATTCAGATGGGAGTAAAGGTATATCGAATCAAGAGTAACAGAACTAATAATTTTTATAGCAATTATACCTCGAGGCTATGAATCCACCTCTGCTTGGGCAGAAATTTGTATTCTCCGTAGACAGGCCATAAAGGTCTATGCGGTCCACTGAAGATACTCGATATTAAAAATTTATACCCGATTACTAGTTATTGATACAACGTACTTACAACAGGGGAATGTCATCGTCGTACTCTATCCTTTCCTGCATGCACTTATGCGTAGCCTGTATTATATTTTAAAATAATTAAAATAGCTGACAACAGGTAGCACCAATGTCGAGCGCGATACTTACGACGTAACTCTTTGGAATCTGCTCGCAGTACTTCAGGGGTATCGTTTCTATGTTTGGCATTAGCTTTTTCCCGTAACATGTATAATTGGTTGGAGAGCCATCCCAATCGATCGTTAAGTTAGTCTGAAAACAAGCATCGTAAGACACATTGAGAGAGTATTCTGATTTGAAGAGGGGGAAACAAAAATTGATTTTATAAGAATATTTTCGATCTGTCATTGGATAAAATAAATATCCTTGCAGTTCTTAAAAAAAATATTTTCTTCCATAACGATGAGAACCCTCAAAATCATATCGGTTGACGCCATATTGTTTAGTGACGAATGTTATGACACGTAGCTGTCTGTTTCCAAACTGGTTTATTATCATTAGACTGCGGATCTTTATGCAAAATAAAATCTTCGCGAACGTACCTACAAAAATTGAACCTAAATAGGAATTTATTTTATTCTGAACATATTACAACATGAACCTTACTTCACGATCTTTTTTATATTCTCGTAAATTGTTTGCATTTTGTAGGTTCTTGCACATTCAAATTTCCTATAAATGCATAAAGATCCGCAGTCTAGTTATCACAGTCATTATCAATGCAACAACGTTAAAAGTTGTGACTCTTGTTACTTGGGAATGAACCTTTAATATCTTCGAATTGCTAACCTTAGCATCATCGCAATTTGGCGACGGGTGTCCCATGGGCACTCCGTAAATAGGTTCCAAGAGTCCACGTATGAGATCTTCCTCCATTTTTGGAAATACCTTGGGCGGCGGAGTTGGATCACCTGGTTTGTCAGGCATCCACCGGCCTTTCCAGTTGTCGAAGTCATCGTCCGTATCTCGACGATTCTTTCCGTTACCGTACACGAGTTGCCTGAGCGACTGCACCTGGTCGAAACCCACGTACCTCAGATCCTCTGTAACGTTTCGAGCACAAATTATACCACCTTTGTCGTTGAAACAACGCAGAAGGTATGGAAGGATGCAAACACGTCGGTTATTGGTTAGGAAAACAGACAGCTGACCGCGTCAAAAATCGCCGAACAACGACGACTTGATGCGATGAAAAAAGGAACCACGGTTAAACTTTCATATCGTCACCTTCGACGTTGTCGTCGGAAAAGTCGATTTGCGCGACACTCCACGCGAAGAGATTGCATAGAAACAAAACGAGTCTGAATTCTGCTTTCATTTTCAGGCAGAGGCGACACGGTGGCATAGATGGTTCTCTGCACGGTGTCAAAGAATGGCTGCTGACGCGTTATGCTCCGCCATCTTGCGGTCTCAGTGAACGTTACTAGAAAATCAATGGGTGTAGTCAGCAAAGATAGCTGTGGAATGATTCTCTTGGAATCTCTGCTTTGATTCGTCTAATCGTTTCGAGTAGGTGAATCAAAGCAGAGAATTCAAGAAAATCACTCAACAGTCTGCATCAATTCCCAGTTCAGATGCTCGTCGTATGTTTATTTGGTTCAAGACGGACGCGATAAATATACATAACCACGGTTTAATTTATCTACGAATGCACGAAAGGAATGAAAGGTATCAGTGTACCTAGAATATAGTACAAGGCAATGTGTTTTATAAAACATATTTTCCTGTTTGTTCGTATTCAGTTGTTTGATGCTGTGTAACGGCTTTCTTACAAGTTCTGAGATCGACGTAAAAAACATAACATTGTATTGAAAAATTAACATTGTATCGTTCTATTATTTTGGAGAATTAATTATTGAGTACTTCATACTGTAGATTTGCCAATCGTAGCGACTCCGAACGGGGAATGCTCGATTAGCAAGAATAAAAACGCACCTTGCTGATTGTTGCGCATGCGCTGACGCACAGTCGCATGCTCGCCAATGGCAGGGCGGGCTATATAATTTGCTCGACCAAGAAAACTGCTCGTTCCAATTATTATATTATTCAATTATAATTACAATTATTAATCACCTCAGCTACCTCGTAGCTAGCTCTGTAGCTACGTTCAATTGTAGCTACAGCTACGGGCTTAGCAATCCCGAGGTACCCGAGGTATAGACCAGTGGGCCCCAACAGCATGTAAAGGAATCTAATGGAAGACAAATTGATGTAATACAGTACAAACTTGATATGTAAAACAAACATACATGTGCAAGGATAGACACAATAGTCAATGTAAAACAGATTTCTTCTTTGAACGTACCTTTATATATAAAAAAAAATTTCAATAACAAAAATTAATTATATCTGGAAATTATATGCATTAGAAAAATACATTAGCTGGACCAGACTCCCCCCTTAATTTAAAGCAACAGATTGTATACAATACATCGCTTATAAAATACAAATTCAAACACAAAACAATACGCAAGAATTTTCTGAAGTTAAAGTGTTTGTTACTCTCGGTCATGAGCGTACATTGATTTTCTAAATGGGAAAATGTCCTGGTCAAAGCACGACAGCGTAAATACCGTCCAGGTCGTGGTTGATGTATTCCAAGCAACTATATTAGCGTATACGGACGTTCTTATAATTTCATTAACTATCGAAGTCCCGTCAGTGGCGCGGTCCAGTGTTACCAGCAACGTCCACGACAACTTTGCAGCACGCCGCGCACCGACGTCATATCTTGTTTTCAAGATGATCTAAAAATAATTTATGCACGCTATCTTTGCCAAAAAAATGGCGAAATTTCCTTCGATACTTGCATAGCATCCTATAGAGCGAAGATGATCGAAGATTGAAGTAGGACTGTTTCACTTTACTGTCCGAAATACAGCCCCTAAGCGACATGTCTACATGGATACTAATCTCAAGTCTCATGGAAACTTATTGCCATGTAATAGGCAGACTTGGTAGAGGTCTATACCGATCGTCTTAGCGCGAAAACATCCCTGGGACAAATCTTGAAGATTCAGCCCCTTTCGTACGAGTCCCAGACGCGTGAAACGCGGTTCGGATTCGTTTGATGGTAAAAGGAGGAACAGTGGAGGACAATCGTGGTCAGATATGGCCGATTCAAGCGTTTTAGGATGGTTGCACTCGAGGGACGAAGTCCGCTACTTTCTTTGGTCAAAGGGAGCTCGATTGCTACCTTTGTCTAGCTTGGTCGCCCGGGATCGCTTTTTCTTAAACCTTACGACGTCCATGACGTTGTCAGGGTCGACGGACCCTCCCGACTCTTGTCTCTCATTTTCACTCCTTGTGACGATTACTAGGCACATGGGTACCTCGAAGCACTGGGAACAACTGAAACTTTGAATTCCTTTACTAATGTCTCACTCGGACAATATCACGCCAATTGATGCGTTTATTTAAAAGTAAAAAATTCGAACTGATGGTCGCCTATAATGATCACGAATTTTCTAACGATTTTCCTGTATTGCATCTTTGGGGAATTAACCGTGAATATCGAATCTCAATTGTAGTGGTTTACTTGTACGTTATGGAATGTAGCTTGGAAAATAAGTGTACACGCATGTACGTACTGTATACGTGTCATACTTTAACTTAAAGTCCTTAAGGGATTAACTCTGCGGCACAGGAATTCAGGTCATAAAGTAGACCCATGTTGCACAGGAATTTTATTGCGTTTTAAATCAAACAAGATTGTTATATTTTTATTAATAAAGGCCTACACATACAGCTATACACATGCGCCTATACACATGCAGCTATTCAAAATTTCGAGGTGGGATTAAAAATGTCTCACCATGCATTACGATACATCAAAAAGGTGGGACACTTTTGATCCCACCGTGCCCCATAGAGTTAAAGGAAGAACGGTATTCGGAAATATCGAAGAAGGGTGATAAAGGCGATTCGTTGAAAGACAGGCTACGTATGGTCGTCAAGTGGCTGTCAATCTCTATCATATGAGAGGTGATAGCGGAAATGGGTTCAAGCTGCTAACGCGCTCGACCAAAGGTAAACGGATGAGCGACTGCACTGTAAACATTGCGTCGAGTGGCCATATCCGCCATCTTGACTATCCATTACGCTCGAAAGGTTCACACCTCTCCCAGCAGAAATGTCCTTGTTGCTTTTTTCACACTTTGCCTGTGAACTGACGATGGAACCAATCCAATGACGTGTCAATTCTCAAGCGTTCTGTTCGATATGTCTAACAGGAGCCTGGATAGTTCTAACCAGCGTTGGTGGTAGACGAGATTTGTTGCAGCATCGATTGAATTCAAAGGTCGAGTGTTATTGACAGACCTCGAAATGTAACTGTACTCGAGAGTTGTGAATTGTTTCGAGGTAATCATTGGAACATTTTGTAACAATTTCGATATTTCTTTTATTTTTAATTCTTTTTCATTAATGCTACCTTGATTCGTTATCTTAGCTTTACATCGGTAAAAGGTGTTTGGATAGCTTGGACATTGGGAACTGAAAGTACAGCGATCAAGTATCAGTTAACTTGGCATCGGAATAAGTATGCTGTATCGATCATTTTTGTATTTTTCATTACATTTTCATGAAAGTCTCGCTGATGGATCGAGCTCGTTCTCCGAATAAAAACGAGTCCAAAGACGACCATTTTAGGACTACTTTTAGTTAAACATCATTCGAAGACATTCGCGAATCATTAGAATAGCATGTTAATAAAAATTGTACGAACGAGGTCGTGTTTGGTCTCATTTTCATCGTGCAGACATCGACAGGTCCATTCGTAATGGTTCGATAAAATTTTAG